GGCTGGGTGTGTGTTGGGGAGGGGGTCAGGGCAGAAGGCTGGGGTGCTCGGCTCGTGGGGGTGCTCTCAGATCCCTGCCCTGAGCGGCTCAGGGCAGGGGGCTGGAAGGGATATGCCCTGTTCCACCCCCTTCTCCCAGGCTCCGTCCCTACCTCTTCTCTGCCTCCTCTACGGAGCTGTGTGCATGCTGCCACTCTTCCCCCTCCCCCTCACTAGGGCCATCAGCTGATTGGCCAGGGATGGAGAGGAGGCGGGGCAGGAAAGCGCCACGCTGGGGGAAGAAGTGGGGGAGGGGGGAAGCTTGGCTGCCGCAGAACCAAGCTTCTGCCTCCTGCCCCCTCAAGGGAGAGCAGGGGCGGGGGGCTGAGTGGGGCTGGGGGCTGGGACTGCATCAGGGGAGCTGTGTGCCACTCAGAATCGGCTCGCGTGTCGTAGGTTGCCGACCCCTGTCCTAGATCTCTATTGCTGGGAGTGCATGTGCTCTTGGTCTCTTGGCACCATGGTAAGAAGTAGTGAAAAGCAATGGCTCTTGAGGCTCCCCTGCAGAACAAAATATTCAGTGTTAAGTCATATGAGGAGTTTCCCCCCGCCATTCTGAATAGTCACTACCCCAGTTCCTCTTTCACTACTTGAGCAGACAACTTAGAAACATCAGAGTCTTCTTCCCTTCCTTGCACTTGTTTTTGCTGTCTTAATTCTGCCTTGTGGTGAGCATTCTCTTGATGCACTTGCTCATTGTTAGGCTTTGACATGTTTGACTCAGTTAATTCCATTAATCTTCATAGTGTTGGTCCAGTTCATCTGTTCACCTAGTCCTGCGGTATTCCTCATAATAGATGCCAAGCTCTATTTGTTACTAATAGTACATGTGCTGCCTGTGATGCCTTTGGAAGGATCATCCAACGAAGGTTTCTCTTATTTGTGTGGATTTTGCTCTGAGAGCTCTCAAGGACTGTGAAAGCCATCTGAAAGCTTCCTTAGTGGAAGAATCATCCTTTCTTCTTTGAATAGTGTCCCTAAGGGCGCTCTTGGAACATTTTTGCCCTCTGTACCTCACATCAGAGATTTTAGAGCGCATTTGGCCTGCTCATGCGCTCTTCTCATCCTGTACCATGCACCAGTGCTATATAGCATTGCGCAGGTGAACTTCCCTCTCAGTTCCTTCTCAGACACCTTGGCCCAAGAAGGAGCCTCGGCAGCATCTGAATTGAGATTACTTCACTTGTATTTTTTTTCTCTCGTTCAAGATAGTGTTAGTTCATGGAGTTTCTGTTAGTTCGTGTACTCCCTTTTTTCTTTTTTGAGTTTAAAAAAAAAAATTCTTATTAGAATAGTGAACTGTTCCCCATCCATAATTGTTTTTTCTTGTATCTTCCATCTGGGGAAGTGGAACCTGGAAACGGTATGCCCAGCTCCCCGGGTTTAAATGTTACCTTTCCTGCCAAGAGGCTATCCCGATCAGTGACAGACATAACCGGAGTCACATGTCCCTCAAAAGTATAATTTCTCCCTGAAATTAAGGTCAAGGCCAGAAAACTGAACTAAAATGGAGTCTACTTATGACTGAGAGTTTGCTCCAACCAGCTTCCGACCCCAGCCCCGGGATCCCCTCTGTCCTACGGTCCGTGATGAGGCTGTCTCCATCAACTTCCTTGGCACAACACTCCCCTGCAACTTCCAAGAAAAAATTCCTGGATTCCTCTCAAAAAGCTTCCAGAAAGCGGGTGCTTCAAGTCACTTGGGTAGAGAATCTACCACAAAGAGATGATTCCCGATCAGGTCGACCAGCTTGGCACCCACTGATCTCTCACTCAGTACTCACAAGGCTGCAGGTTCCTCAGGTACCGTCATTGCCAGCAAGCCTAAAGACTCTAAGAATTCAGGCTCTTAAACCTTGGGTCGAATGCAGTAGCTATCTTTAGAACTCTCACATTGGTACCTTCTTTGCGTTTTTGTCAAATCTGCAGTGAAAGTGTTCTTTAAACGAACATGCGCTGGGTCATCATCCGAGACTGCCATAAAATGAAATATATAGCAAAATGTGGGTAAAACAGAGCAGGAGATGTACAATTCTACCCCGAGGAATTCAGTCACAAATTTAATTAATGCATTAATTTTTTTAATGAGTGTCATCAGCATGGAAGTATTTCCTTTAGAATGGTGGCTGAAGCATGAAGGAGCATATAAATGTTTAGCATATCTGGCACGTAAATACCTGTAGCGATGTGGGCTACAAAAGTGCCATTAGAACGCATGTTCTCACTTTCAGATGTCATTGTAAATAAGAAGCAGGCAGCATTATCTCCCATAAATGTAAACAAACTTTATTTCTCTCAGCGATTGGCTGAACAAGAAATAGGACTGAATGGACTTGTAGGCTCTAAAGTTTTACATTGCTTTGTTTTTGAGTGCAGTTAAATAACAAATTTATTTGTAAAGAGATTGCACTACAGTACTTGCATGAGATGAATTGAAAAATACTATTTATTTGATCATTTTTACAGTGCAAATATTAGTAATAAATATATAAAGTGAGAACTGTACACTTTGTATTCTGTGTTGTAATTGAAATTGTAATTGAAATCCATATATTTGAAAAATATGTAATAAATTTCAATTGGTATTGTTTAACAGTGCAATTAAAACTGCAATTAATCCTGATTAATTTTTTGTTAATCACGTGAGTTAACTGTGATTGACAGCCCTATTCCAAACTGAATGCCTTGATTGACTATCTTTCAACAGACTAGAGAGCATTTTCAGGTGATCATTGCTGAGGGCCAACTCCTTGCAAGGACAATCCTCTGTAGACACCGCTGACACAGCTACTCATTCTAACTCCATGGCAGTGGTCATGAGGAGGGCTTCCTGGCTTCAGGTATCCAGCTTTCCAAAGGAAGTCCAGTCTACAATTGAGAACCTTCCATTTGAGGGACCAAAGTTGTTCACTGAGAACTGATGAATCCTTCCACATGTGAAAAAATTCTAGAACCACCTTTATGCTCGCTGGGAATTTACACGCCTGCACAAAAAAGATTCAGTAAATCTCTGACAGCTCAGAGATCCCAGCCTACTCAGTCCACGCCCCACTTTCCCCCAAGGCATTATGAACCCCAGTGCAAGAGACAGCATTTGCAGAAAAGGAGACCAGCTGCCTCACAGCCCTCTACATCTAAACATCAGTTTTGAGGGGTCGTCCAAGGGCTCGATTTACTACCTCCATCCTTATCTGCTGCAACAATCCGCACATTTCTCTCACTTTGGCGACCACCTTGGTCCTTTTCATCAAGACTGGGAATACATAACTATGGACAAATGAGTTGGAGATAATTTCTACAGGATATTCTATCCATTTTACCTTCCTTATCACTTCCCCTCCTGTCTCTCTTCAGGGACCCTTCTCATACACCTTTTATGACAGGAAACAGACTCTCTCCCAAACCTGGGTACTTTAGAATTAGTTCCCACACAACACAGAGGGAGGGGACTTCTCCAAGTACTTTGTGGTACCGAAAAACAACAGCGATTGGAGGACTATTCTAAAACTAAGATCACTCAACCGATTTGTAAATGTTCAGAAAAGTAATTCTCCCAGCAATAATTCCATCTCTGGACCAAGCGGACTGGTTCTCGGCCCTCGACCTACAGGATGTTTGCTTCCATATTGCAATCCACCCATCCCACAGAAGGTTTCTATGATTCACTCTGAATCAGGATCACTTTGAATACAAGGTACTCCCACTCATCCTGTCATCCGTGCCCAGAATGTTCTCAAAGGTCCTTTCTGTGGTAGCGGAACATCTTCGCAAACAAGGAATTCTGATTTTCCCATACTTGCACGATTGTCTGCTCAAAGCATGCTCCTTCAACAAGGGTTTGACCACACAAAAGGCCACGGACCTATTCCTCTGACTGGGACTACAATTAAACTTCAAAGTCCACATTAATTCTAATATAGCATCTGGAGTTCATAGGAGCTTACCTTGAGGCAGTAGCAGCCAAAGCATTCTTCCCCTCACACAGGTTCAACATGTCAGTCAGTTTAGTCTTGACAATCCAGGTCGAGTTCCGGAGTCGACGGTGAGCGCTTTCGGGGATCGATATATCGCGTCTTAATGAGATGCGATATATCGATCCCAGATAAATCGATTGCTACCCACCGATGTTGCGATACCCTAAGTCACTTACTTTTTATATATATTTCAGTGACATCTAGGGACTCCAATGAGGGCACTGTTGTGCTAAGTGTTGCACAAACCTATCTAAACAAGGATATTGCAGGCTGCTACTTGATGTTTAATCCCTACAATTAGGCAACATTACCATTGGCTTTGAATCCAGGTCCCATGCCCAATTTTCAAAAATAATCCTGCAGTCTTTTAACTAGTTCTCAGACCCATTTCTTTGAGGGATGACTGATAGTTAATCTTCCAACATTAGGGATCTCTGGTAAAAATGGTTAGAGAACAAATGTTATCTAGTATGAATAAATTGCCACTATAAAGCTACATTCCTCACCCTGTGTATACCCATTTCTTTGGATTCCATTTCTAATACATTATTTAAATGGAAAGGAATTGGATGGAGTCATGGCCATGCATCTTCATATTAACTTAAAGTAAATGTTTGCTTTTACTAGCAGAATATGTATATGGC